CCTCCAGACTGCAGTGCAAAGATCCCGTGGCAGACTGGAACAAGCTGTCTCCAGACCTGGTTAATGCACAAACATGTAAATACAGTATGAAGCCTGAGCTGGCAAGCTCTGATACAAGTGTAATGGGTTGGTGACACGAATGTCAGTAACTGAGCTGGTACCTCTCTGCATGGAGGTACCCCATGGCACCATGATAGTGTACCAGAACATCCACAGCTGCACATTCTCTGTTGAAAAAGAGTATGCTTTAACTTACACATCTAAAATGAAGTATCAAAAGCATGTGATACAAGTGTTGTGTAGGTTTGGCAGATGGTTTGTGATTTCTTGTTTTGCTGATGTTTTTTAATCAATATATGTCACTGTTGTATACCCCTTAGCAAAGTACACAACAAATTGTTTTAAAGAAGCTTTGAAACCTTTCCTGTATAATTTCTACCCTCCTACCATCCACAAGCTTATGAAGGAAAAATCCTGATATTTCTCTGAGGTAACAGGGAGGATAAAGTAGGAAGAGCTGAGACAGAAGCATGGCCAGATGGGGTGTGGTATTTGGGAGAGATCCTGAGAACTGTGGTTTGCTTACTAGAGACCATAACAGAAACACTGAATTAATTCCTCATAAAAATGCATTGACCTTCTTTCCTGAAATTTTGCCTTTATAATAGACTTTAGATGGCACTAACTTTAGGTGAAGAATAAATAAATCAGAGTTGATACAGTATTAATGAAAAAAATGAAAGACCGGTCAAAAACTGGAAGGGTCTGACTGACCTGCTATGCATCCATTCTGTCTGGAAAGCACATTGCTTGCTCACTGAAGATATTCATTAGTATTAATAGAGAAGTTCAGTAGGTCACAGAAGTCTCATGCTCTCCTGGAAAGCTTAAAGTAGAAGAGAGAGGTAAAGTATTAAAATGCTCTTAATGCCAGTACTCCCTGCTCAGCAGAGATCTGGAGAAAACCCATCACCTTTCTCTCCTGGCAAATTAGCCACTTTAGCTATATTATTTTTCTGTCAAATGTCCTAATTGCTTCAGCATCAGTCTTGTCTGACAAGTGACTTGAGGTCGAGGCCTTAATGTAATTTTTTTCTCATCTGATTTTTTTCTCTCCAATGTAACACACAATTAGATAGACTTTTATACAGATAATGATTAAAATAATCTGAGTGAAAAAACACTGTGCAGTCCAACAGAAACTGAACAAAACTGCTATTGTTAGACCTGAGCAGAAGCTAAGGCACAGATTTGTCACTGGGTGGTTATTATTGCAGCCTAAATTTACCCTTGAAAGACTCATCTCTGCTCTCTTAAAAGTGGTTCTTGTATGAAGAAGCACAAAGAAAAAGATAAAATCAAGAAGTAATTTTGACAACACTGCTGAGGCTAGAGCCAATGTCTCCTAATGACTGAACTTGTAGGTATTGTGAGGTTTTCACTTACTGTAGGTGGGCAAAGTTTATTTCAGCTCTGTAGCAGAAGTACTCTGGTTAGGTGAATTCAAACATGCAGATAGCTGTTTAACTGTGGAAGTTGTAATGTATCAGAATGGTCTCTTTCGTTTCTTCTCCATCAAAATTCATGTACCATAAGTCAAACATTAAAATCACAAAGAGTATTAAGGAGAAGTCATTATAATGTTTATTAGACCTGTTCAGACAATTTTTCAGTAGCCTCACAGAAATCTATCCTACATTTCTTGAAATAAGACTGTGAATGGAGTCCCCAGATTTGTTTCAGATTAAATCTGTGCATGATTTGGAAAAAACATACTTTCACTTTTTCAAATCTTTCCCCAAAATCTAGAAGAAGTTGGGAATCTATTTCAGAGATCCATGAGAGGAGGAAAACACTGTTCAATTTTTACATTTAAACTTGGCCATTCCTATTATTTTATGTTGGACATTTTCTGTCCTGCCCATATCACTGCTTTTCTCTCACTAGACAGATTTCTGTGGTGGCATTAACAAGCTGTGCCTGCTAGAATGAATCTGCAGAAATTTCTCAATAGCTTTATACAGAGTCTTTAGCCTTATTGTCAGAGACAGTGAGAAGAAAAAGAGATTTCTATCCCTGTCTCAAATCATAAAGCATGGCATTCTGTTACATGTAAGCAATACTAAATATGGATAAAAGATGATAATCCTTACTCAGACAAAAATTACCGCAAGAAAAAAAATTTCTATTGATGCAAAACTTTCATTATGCTTAATTCTAAAATTTTCCTGAATCTGAAGAACTCCAGTTTTATGAAAGGTATTGCTTTTAAAGATGATATCCACCTAATGCACCAGGCAGTGAATGCTTGAACTGTTGTAGAACATGAGATACAAAAAGCTAGTACTAAGTTCAGTCAAGTAAAACAAGATTACAGTGAAAAATAATTATTGAGTGGGGAATCTACACACACAAAGTAAATAAAAATAGACTGGGGGAGAAAGAACTGAGTGGGACCTGAAACTCTAAGTAGCTCTTTAATTCAAGACTATGGTCCAGTAAAAGGCAGTGAGACTTGTATTTAGTGTAATCTAGATCCATATACTGCCTGACTCTCCATAAAAAATGTTTTTCACTTCAAACAATCAAGACAATTTGCCTCTTAGAAAAAAAGAAAAAAAAAGAAAAGCAGATAGGTTTTGCAGTTCTAGAGATGATAAAGCTGGACTCTAATCACTCTTTCTTGTCAATACTGCATTCATTCCCAGAGTACTCTGATTACAAATGCAAGAACATACAAAAGAAAGAACTGACTTTGTTCTGGCCAACATCCAGAATTTTGGGAGCAATAACTGTCAAAACCAACGTCATATCTTTCTTAAAAATGAGCCAGAAGTGTACTACAGTCCACAAAGTGTTGTTTATAGCTCAAAAACCCCAGGAAGATCTAGATTATTTTAGATTTACTGTCATCTACAACAGATAAGTCAGAAAATATGGTCCTGTGTCAAGTGCATTTCAGCAGTTTTATAGCTGGCTATTTGCTTTAATGATATGTCTGTCTCAGACAAAGGCTTTGAGGTTTCCTCTTTGTGACATCAGGTGCTAAAATTTGGGCTCCTCACTATAGAGGGTATGGTGAAGTATTTGCCCTGTGATGTGAAACAGTGTATAAAGGATGGCCGAGTTTCATTAATCACTGTGTGGCATTTCCATACTGCTAGAGTGTCTAAGGAAGATGAAGCTTCAACAGTTCACTGCTTCCCCTTGACCTAGCAAGAATGAAGATGTGTATGTTTCATATGCACCATCTTTCTCTGTTTTATGTATGCACTAACTAAGCCAACCTGAGGCTGTAAGAAGCACGAAAATAATCTAAACCACAGGGTGCCCTGTAGGGAATTACTCACCTTCCATTTCCTCAGCAGCAAACTGGGAGCCATAAGAAAGATATGATAACTGCTCGCATGACAACTCTTTCAGTGAACAGCTCCTAGGGCTGGGCAACTCAGTGCCACCTCTTATACCTTGTGAGATGTGAAATATTAGTTTATCCCTCAGGATATATGAGCTCATAAAAAAGCTGAGGACAGGTAAAAACACAACAGTGTTGTGTTTATTTAGTGTTTATCTAATATATGTGTGACTGAAGTGAATTTACGCACCAAAGTGAATAAGGAGATTAATTTATTAAGCTTTTCAAACACACTAGAGATCCTGCAAAACAAAGGAAGCCTCTTTTTGTTTGTCAGGCTTAATTTCATTTCAGCTAAACATCTCTTCCTGTTTCCAGTACTCAGGCCAGCAAATCCAGCCCTTTTACTTTCTTCTGAAAGGATGTTACAGAAGTCTAAATATCAGCTGTATTTACAGTTCTGCAGTGTTTGAGGGTCTAAGTCACAGCCTAGGAAATCACGATGTGTTGCTTCCCATGAACACAAAGTAACAGTCATTGTCCCAAGTGTGGAATATTTTGAATCTGTAATACACCAACTCCAGCAAGTTGGTTAATTCTCTTTTCCTGATGAGATCTGTCCAGATTCAAAAGAATGACTGCATATTGAGTCTGTAGGGCATGGACTAACATCAAATACGAAAATATTAATATAAAAAATACATTGCCTTAGATTATGTATCCGAGATTTTTTTAATGTTACTTTACTATCCAGAAGTGAAGTGCCAACATAATTCACAGCCATAACAAATCTTAAAGAATACCTGCCTGCTGTTGATCTTAACAGTCTTCAGCCCAAATCTGGGACCAGAATCTGACATCACTGACACAAAAAGCAGTGATTAGTTCTTCAACCTATGTATGATACTAGGATTTTGCTTTGATTCTGGAAAGTATCCCTGCCCTGCCTTTGAAAAGCCAAGTGTTCATAACCTTAGTCTTCTATTTTGACATTTTCCTAGACTCGAATCTTACAAATGCTTGACCCAAACCAAAAAGAAACACTGGTGTCCTTTCCCTACTCTTTGGTGAGTTTGAAATCAGTCTCATAATCCCAAAATTAGATGCAATATTTCAGTGTATTCTTTTGTGACAACTTGGTAATGGTATCTGGTAGCAGCACTATAGGCAGAGCTAGAAGCTTTTTTTCTAAAACAATACATCCAAGTTCCTGATGAAGCACGAAGTAAAATTTTCAGTGGGGTGATATTCAACTCCTGTCATAAGAGTAATCCTCCACAGCCACTGACTGGTTTGTGCTACCAGACAGGCAGAAGTGTTCACAGAAGTATGTTTTCTTGAAAATTTTCTCATTCACTACACTTTCTCCCACTGCTTCAGAGCTAGGAAAAAACAAGTAACAGCAGAATATTTAATGAGTCAAATACAACTTTATTTCTGAAAGGAAGCAGGATTCATCTATATAAACACATATATATATTTGCATGTTTTCAAATGTATTTAGATTTACATGTACTTCTACATTTTTATAGGTAGATTTTGTATAATTTTTATACATACATACACACACATACACATGTACCTATGTATTTATTTATATATATATATATGCATAGCTGCCAGGGCAGGCGGGCAGCACGGGGCTGCCAGCCATCGGACGATGCCGGACGCACCGGCGGGCCGGCGAGCCCCGGGCGCCCGGCAGGAGGAACGCCGGGCGCTTTGTAGGGGCGGCGGACCTCTCCGCCGCTCCTGAGTCGCGGAGCCCCGATGGGGACGTGTCTGGCTTCCCAAGCGATTGGCGCGCAGGCGCCTCTCAATCCCCAGCTCTGGTGAGATGCTCTCGGACCTGGGAAGGGGATCGTCCTCCCATTCCCTGCCTGCTGCTTTCTTTCCGGCCCTTCTGCAGCACTTTTCCTCCACATCCCTGGCTCGGATTGGTTTTTATTCCTCCTAGTCTCTATTTTATTTTTTAATATTACCCACCTCACGGGAGCCCGTTTGCTTTCCTCTGTAGCTCCCGCTCCCCAAAACACCGTTATCTGAAGGGAAAGCCGCCTGTTGACTATCCCCGTCTCCCCTTTTCTGAGCTTCCACCCACTCTTTGCCCCCACCCCTCCCTCTGTTTGATTCCAAACCTTTGGATGGTGTTTTGGTGTCACTAGGAGATTAGCATCCCTGGAGCACCAGGGGAGGAGGAGGAGTAGGAGGGTGGAGGGGAAAGCGAGACTGCAGGCAGGAAGGTTGGCACATTAACGCGATTGAGACTCTCCTCCCGCCGTCCCAGCAACCCCCGGCTCCTGGGTGCCAGCGGAGGGGGCGGCTGCCGGCGCGGGTTGCGGACGGCGGCCGGCGGGAGCGCCCGGGACCCGCGCCCGCGGAGGGGAGGGGGCTACCGGCGGGCGAGCGGCTGTGGCTCTTGCGCGCAGCCCCCCTCTCTTTTATGAACAGCGAGGCGGCAAAGCGGCAGCGGGGGACACCTGGAGGAGCATTTCTTCCCCGGGTTTATGAATGGCACTGACATGGAGGAAATACCGTTTCGGAAAGTCAAGACCAAGAGGAAGAAATGCTGCCACTGCTGCTGCTCCCCGCCGGCTGCCGCGGCGTCGGGAGCGGGAGCCGGGTTAGGGGACCCCCCTCCCTTGCTGCTGCTGGATGCCATCGCCTGCGAGGACGAGTTTGACTGCAAGGAGCTGGAGGCTCTCTTCCAGAGCTACAACCTGAAGCTGGAGCAGACGTCCACCCTCAAGGCGCTGGCCGTCCTCATCGTGCTCACCGCCAGCCTAGCCCTGGTGGAGCTGCTCTCCAGCCCCAGACTGACCATCTCCAAAGGTTCGCACCCGGTGCACTGCATCATCTTCCTCTCCCTTTTCATCGTCACCAATGTCAAGTACCTGCAGGTCACCCAGCTGCAGCAGATCGTCAAGCTCACCTTGCTCTTCAGCTTCACCTTCTCCTTCCTCTGCTGCCCCTTTTCTCTCGGCGCCTACGGCATGGAGGCGCCCAGCGCCCCCGAGCAGGGCATGTGGCAGCTCATGCTGGTAACCTTCGTCTCCTATTCGCTGCTTCCCGTCCGGACGCTGCTGGCCATCGTCTTCGGGCTGGTGGTGTCTGTCTCCCACCTCATCGTCACCGCCACCTCCGTCAGTGCCAAGCGGCAGAGGCTCTGGAGGACGGTGAGAGGCCGGGCCAGGCCGGGCCGAGCGCTGCAGCACGGCAGAGCCGCGCGGTGCCGGCCCGCCGGGGGGAGGGAGAGCGGAGAGGCGCGAAGCGGCCCCGCGCAGCCAGCGCAGGCGGCGGCCGAGGAGTGCCCCGGCTGACTCCGGGGGGGAAGGGGAGAGCGCGCACCTGTGCCTCAGGCGCCTGTGTCTGTAGTTCCCGAAAGTTTCCGGGAGGCGGGGGGGAGGGGCGCGGATAGGGCAGCTCTGGGGAGACGGAAACTCTCGGCTTTTTCTCTCCAAGGAAAACCGGGGACAGGGCAGGGAAGCCAGCGCTACCGTGCCCCGCTCATGGGGCAAGTTCAGAGCACCGCATGATATCAGTGCAATACAGCGCGCACCAGCAACATCACCTGGCTCTGTACAACTTGGCACAGACAATATGCTGCGTGTGGTAATAACACCTCCACCGAGTTGGTTCGTATCCTCGCTGTCTCAGCCGTGGCCGATCGTGCCTATGTACAGCCCATCTGCGGGGAGGCTCTTAGGAAACGATTTGAAATAGGTGGGACACTCAAAATGGGAACCCCGCCTCGTTGCCCTCCCAGAAAGCGGAGCATTCCCCCTTCGGTTTCCCAGGGCAGCTGCTGCCCTCTTTCCTCAGACATTACCTGCTGTGGCAATGAACTTCCTAGCGATTCCCTTTCCCCCCTGAATTAATCCAGCAAAACCTCCCTCTGCAGCAAGCATCTTTAGAAACGTGCTGCTGCACTCTCCCCTCCTCCCCCGAGGAGCTATTTATATCCCTGCAGGGCTTTCTCCAGCTCTCGCAGCCTGATGGGCCGCACTGGCAGGGGGAGGAGGATGAGGAGATGAGCGTATAGGAAACGTGTGGGGTGGCAGTCGGGGTTTGCCACTGAAGACTATTGTCTGATGCGTGTGAACCACTGGGAGAGAGGAATTGAAAAATTTTTGTGTCCTTTGTAGGCATTGATTATGCCTGCCCTCAGGAGAAGCGCATGGCTTCTGTCATCCAGATTGGTGTTAAAGAACAATTTAATGCATAATTGAAGTACTTAGTACATTATTTCTGCAAAATGCTGGTATTATTCTCCATAAACATTGTGATGCTAGGAGATACATAGTTGACATGGGCATAAATGCAGCAGGATTGTACACCTTTGTTCCCAGAACTGTAAATTTCTGGATCCTCCTTCAGTGCTCACACAGACACACACGCCCCAGCATGACATGCATGCACAGAATAGAGATACACAGGGACAATCACTGAGTGGGGTTGCTGAGACAAACAGGATTATTGATGGCTTCACACGGCTGAACTGGTGGACAAAATAAATTGTATATTTTGAAGGGGAAGAGAGAGATAAGCTGAGCTTTATGATTTACCCAGATAATCTGATGGTCTATTTTTAAATATGCGATTTAGAGTTTCCATGAGAGGGAGAGCTGATAAAATGCAGGAGTGCTGAGAGGAGCCTTCCTAAAAAGCATCTGGAAGGATGTTAAAAACACTAGAATATTCTTTTTGAATAGGGCTGAAGATAGCTCTTTTTACTGGAGTACCAGTTAGTCCTTATGGGAGTCCAGGCTATCCTGGCTACCCTGACATGCAGGCAGACTTTCCTTGATGCCAAGCTGCAGCTCAGTGTGGCATCTGCTCTTCTAGATGAGTAACATAAAGATGACAATAACGTCTGCTCACTAAATTATCTAACCAAGGTTGTGAATGTAAAACATTTGAAGAGCAAAAATCTTCTGGCTCTATCCCTTCACACTAGTTTAACTCAGTTATTCATCAGGCAAGAAACTGGCTTGAAAATGCACAGAAATAGTTGACTAATATCTGATGTAACATATCTGTGTTTCTTCTTCATCACCATCTCCCCCAACCAGAGTAATTTCAGTGGTTTTTATGTAGTCCCCAAAGCAGTATGCTTTACTGATAACAGGAATCAGAAACCAGAAACCAGATCAGAGTCAGGCAATGTGAACTTGTGACACACAAAAATGCACACTGATTTGTGGCATATTGGCAAGGAATCAGTCCTCTGATTTGAAGACCATCTCCATCTATGGAAGGGATGGAGAAGTTTGTTGCTCTTTGGAAGAGCAAATTTGCAATGGTTGGAAGTTTAAAGATAAAGGCTGCATCATCTGAATTTTATTTGATTGGCCTGAGAGTAGCTGAACCTTTTTTTGTAAGGTGTAGAGTGGACTTTCCTTTGCTTCCCAGACACCAGATATTATCATGATGGCCCCCATGCTTGTAGACATGCAGCTGACATGTCAAAGAAGCGGGACTGCTCTATGCAGAGCTGCAATAGCATGAAAGGCTCTGTTCTTTCTCCCAACCCCTTGCTCCCTAGCCTCAAGCAAGTAGGTGAATTTAAATTTTTAAACAGATATCCAAAGTATATAAAAATGCAGAAGCACTGACACCGATCACTGAGATTGGTATTGTTAAAGACCTCTTTGATTTTTTTGTGATTTGGGCAGGGAACCAACTTGGGAATAAATTTTATTTTTGTTTAGCCTGAGTTTTAGGAGATTGCAGATCTAGTAACTTCCATTGATGTTAAACTGGAAATTGGTGAGCACGACCAATGAGTTCATATTGTTTCAACTTGAACCCATTAAAAAACAGGCATACCTAAGTTTAAGGGATTTTTTCCAAAGTGAGCTTTTAGATGTACATCTTCTATTTCATGAAGTCTGAGGAATCTCCATTTGCAAATCTTTGAATGCCAAAAGTCTCACTAACTTCAATAGTGACAGATCAGAACCTGAGTGTGCCCCATGGCATGCTTAAGACTTGCATTCTTTTAAATGTACAAATTATCTACATACTGAAACCAATAGTCATTTTGGCAGAAGTTTGTCATGACTTCTATTGAGTAAAGCACATTTAATTTGCATTTTTAATTTGCAATATCACTTGCATTTTCTGGCAGCACAGTGCTGTCTGTGGAGATCATGCCATGCCATGCCATGCCATGTCAGAGGTGGGGCATAGGTATGTATAAAGGCAAAAGGAGAGCAGGAAAGCAAGTACAGAGGGGTAATGAGAGTCAGGGAGTAATGCGACAGATCTTGAGCTTCATCTTTCCACTCAGTAAGTGTTTTGTTCATTAAATGAAAGGTTCCAATCTACTAATACGTCCTGCTCATTTCTAAATAGAAATATAGCTATAGACTATATATATAAATAAGTGCAATCTAAAAAAATATGCGAAGTACTTGGGAGCAACCTTGATCCCATTTGGGATCATGTCAGAGACATGCTGACTTCACAACTGATATCGCATGTCTTATCTGACACTGTGATAAGGACATAAGTGCGTATATAACCAATAGCATGTTGATCCCGTTAGTTGGACTCTTTCCTTTGGAATCATGGAACAAATGCTCCTGCCATATAAGGTGACAATGTATCCACAGATGGCTGAACCTACAAATGAAGTTTTAAAAACTTGGACTTTTTTCTCCTTTTTTCTTTCTTCTTTTTTTACCCCTCTACAGATTCCAGATATATGGTAGGTGATACAGAGCCCTTACAGAAATACAGAATCCTGCCCAAAGGATCTTAACATAATTTTTATTGTAATGCAGTGAGTGGGTGCTAGAGACATGAGGACCAGATGGCATAAGGAAGGCAAAGGCTGCTCATAGAAATTACTCAGTGGTGGCATATGCACCATTTCATGTCTTACCATTAAATAACTTTTTTTGGCCCTGTAAATATTTTAGTTCCCTTTAAAAAATATATATATATTCTTATTTCCAGAAAATTAAAAACCAAATCATACACCATCAAAGTATCTTAACACATCACAGAAGTCTTTGTGAAAGAGCAAATCTTTCAGAAGAAAAATCAGAATTACAGCATGAGTAACAAAGAGCAGAGGAAAGAATAGTACTCTTATAAACTAGCACATTTTTTTCAGAAGTATGGTGAAACAAATGGAGGTTTTAGTTAGTTTATTTGGGTTTGTGGGGTTTTTTTTTTATTTTTAAAACATTTTTAATTTTTTAGTTTTTATTTTTTTGCCTGCATTTAAAACTGATTTTATGCATATACTTATTTATATGTATGATAGCACTTTTGTTGATTCAGCAAGTACCAAAAATCTTAGTTGGGATTAGATAGACTGTGTAAATGACAATGGGGAAAATTGGTGTAATTGATTTTAAATAGTTGATTTACTACTTAAAAGTTTATTTTATAATTTTAACTTTTTGCAGGTTAGTGTGATAGTATTATAGAATATCACAAGGAATTGTTATGCCAAAGTTAATTTTATTTGTGCTAGTGTTTAAAAGAAAATTAATGAACACGTCACTGACAGAACTGTTAATCCCCACACCTTTGTCTCTCACATAGAAAGCAGAGTCTAGTAGCCTAATAAAAGGGCTTGTAAATCAAAGCTCAGCTCCATTGTCATTATTCAGTGCAAAATTCTGTTTTTCTCCTTCATGCGTGTAAGATACTGGTGAGGGACTCCACTAGTTCATTCTTTGTAATGCTTTTCAAGTACTAGTGTCAAGAATATATCTAGAATTCTATTCTCTGTAATATTCTCTAATATGCAGACATATCTATCCACTAATAATCTGTCTGAATTCACTATTTCTCTCTCTTTCCAAAGATGGGGAACACTGTTTTTAGAGTTTCTCAGTATCTGTGTGTAACTCTAATTTTCATTTCATAATTAGTCCATATTGAAAGATTGTTAAAAGTTTGGGGGGTTTCGGGGTTTTTATTCCTTTCTAATCTAAGTGGTATCTTAATTTGTGGCATAGGCTTTGCCAGGTCTTGACCACAGTCATTTTATCTACATGCTGAAGTGTAGGATTTTCTATGGAATGTAGAGTTCAGGATCTTTTTCCACATAGAGATTAGTATGCTCTTAGCTTCCTGAGTCTGCAGATTGCATTGTGGGTTTCCAAAAATTAACAGCATGCTGATGGTTTTGCATGTTTGAGAAACAAGAAGCCTT